AGCTCTCTGTTAAGTGCACTTTTTTGCGTCTTCTAGCCTCTGTCCCCGTAACCCCGCAGTCTCTCCAGAACGCGTTCCCATATCCTCTATTCGCTGAGCCATTGGCCAATCATCTCACACTACTCCTGCAATTGTTGAGGAACTTTTATCACAACCTCGAGCTGACTGGTGGAAGGGGTGCCCTCTGCCTCTCCTTTTCAGCAGACTCTGAAAGATGATCGAGGCCGCTCTCTGAGACCGCCAGGATTCCTTTCATTTTGACTTGACCAGAAAAGTTGCAAATGTTTGCCGCCACTTGGTTTGTTTTCGAGCTCGCGCAGCAAATGGAAAAATCAGCCACAAGAGACAGATGGCAGGAGCCGAGGGATCTGAGGCCCTCAAGCGAGCACACTCATTCATATCGCCAAAGGCTGTTTTCTCTTCGGTTGATTGAGTTTTTGTTTCTCGTCACTTTCACCCGGATCAGAGATTGATGAGAGTTTGGTTAACCGATACACGGCCCAGACGGTTGACCCTACCTGCCTACCCGGAATCTTCCCTTCCAGTCAAACTGGTGCCGAAGTTGCAGTACATACAGAAGAAGAAAACGACACTGCAGTGGTGCTCTGCAACCACGGGCCGATGACCAAAGCGCAAGAATTCATCCTCGCTAAACAAAGCTTTCTTGTGACTTGCACCCTCGAAAGCAAGGAGGGAAAGTGAGTGCTGCATCTGCAGCGCAGGGATTCACGCATCTTATCACCTTATCTCTGTTGCTTTTTCCCCCTCTTTTTGTTTTGCTTCTTCAACATGCAAGTGCAAGCATTCGTGCAGGTTCCTTATGCAAGTGCAAGGGCAAGGTGCTGAGTTGGTGATCCAGTCTTGAACCCTCAACCCCTATGCCCTTGCTTGCATCTGACATATTGGCAGGACTGCAGGTAGACCCGTAGACCTGCAGATGTCAGGTATGTCAGAGACTCAGATATCTCTGAGACGAACTGATGAAAAAGCAAAATCAACAGCCCAGAGTATGGAGTCACGAATTCTGCAGAATGTGGGCCCAAGCTGTCGATTCCATCTATTGGACGTGCATGAAAGTATGTACCTTAAGTGGTTGCAGCTTGTAACAGTTCGCTAGGTACAAGTCCCGGGGTTTTTCTGCATGCTAATACATCGAGCAGCTGCCGGTAGTTTACAGAAAGCTACAGTAGAAAGCTTGTAACGTTGTTTCAAGTCTAAACCACAACCAACTGGCTGTCAAGGCGGTATTTTGAAGTACGAAGAACGGGAATCTCCATTCGCAAGGTTTTCGGCTCGAAGCTAAACGCCATGTTTCATACAACACCTCTCGGGGGCTCACGAAAGCGGGCTGGAACGCTGGGTGGTGATCAATGTGATTGATGATGGAGGAAGTAAACAGCTACCTTGGTGACTACGAACACTGCCTATCTAGAAGAAGATGGGCTGCTACCAGTGTGCCCTGTCCTACATCCCCTTGCAGCCCAGAACGTTGTTTGCCTCCGGTAACCATCTACATCCTTCACTTCCCAGTAGGTATTCCGTCAGTCTTATAGTGTCTTGGTTTGGTTTAATCCAACAATCCTAATTCCTTCTTTTCCTTCTTTCCTACCAAAACCACGCCTCAATCAGGCTATCCACTGAACCTGTCCAGCCTAGTCATATGAATCTCGGGTGTTTTTCTCTCCAGCATCATGGATGACGACAAAGGATATGTGAATTCCAGCGCTCCGCACTTGGCCCTTTTGACAGGGGCACTGTCGCAAGCAACAGGTGCCAAAGAAGAAAAGGAAAAGCTTGCCCCCTTACAGTATTAGCTGCTTGAGGTTCCGCTGGATGATCATATCCTGCACGGAATTTTGAGCACCTGAGGTTGGTGTCGGTGGCATTTGTGTAGTGGCCGCAAAGATCAACAGCTAGCTCCGTTATGCTGTTCGCGAGCAATCATATTAATGCCCTTCACGCGGGGGCATTTCCTGATCTGCTCGATAATCCACTTGTACTGACCAGATCTTGCGGTTAGGTAGGTATGAATGGAGGGTTTCGAGAACCCAGATGGTACTCGACATCCGGCGGCCGAGCGAGTTTCCGTAAAAAGAAAAAGAAAGAAAAAGTCGTGCCGGCTTTCGGTTGTGTGTACGGATGATGTCTGGAACGTAAGAAATATATATCTAGGCATTTCTACTGTCTGGAAAGATCAACAGAACTTCGGCTGCTCAGCGCTACATTCCCCTGGGATTTCGCAGCTGTCAGCCTCATAGGCGTGAGATTCGTGAACTCTGCCTCTGGAGCTTCCCGCCACGAAGATCTTTTTCTTTGCCTTCCAGGTGACGGGTCCTCCCACCATGGAGATGATGTGGCCCTGGTTGGGCTCGAATCCAGGTCTGACTGTTTGGTCAAGAACCGTGAGACAGAGAGGACGGTGGGCCGGGAACTGCTGCTACCAGGCGGGTCATAAATGTTTGTATATCAGAACTATCGCTGGGTAGGTAGACACCAGCACGCGCTCCACCGGGTAGAGAAATCTGATGGTGGCAGAATCAAGAGCGAGGATCTTGAGGCCTGAGAAGTTGAAGGAAAGCTCCAAATCTCGTTACGCTTGAGATGTGGCTGTGTCTTGACCCAGTCTTCTGTGCGGCGTGAGTCCCAGCGCTTTCCGGACTCGAAATCGAAAATCGAGTATATGAAAAAGTCATGGGGACTGTCCTCGCCGTAGCAATGCGGATTGCCGGGTTCTCGCGCGCCACTTAGACTTGTGAGGAGGAATGTACTGATTTTTGAAATATATATATAATTCTTTCGACACCATCTTCGGTAGTTCCACGCGAGTCTGATCAGTCATTGAGTGCGGTGTAGTGAAGGTGTCCGGTCATGTTTCGGCTACAGAGGATATGCGGAAAATAGAGCCATGGATTTCGCCGTTGGTTAATTGAACCAGAGAGCGTTGACGAGTTTTTCGTTTGCGCGGTAGTCGTTTGCGTGGTAGTCGTTTGCGTGGTTGTAGGCGACTCTCTAGGCTTGTCGTCCAAAGAGTCTTGTGCCGGAGGTGGTGAGAAGGTGGTAAGTGATGATCGCGAGAGTTATCACCACTTTAGTACCGTCCTTATTCGTACTGCCCTGGATCTCGCCAGACGCTTCCATGTTCTCTTCCGAGGTCTCCTGGTGTCGAATTATGCAGTGGGAGACAACAGAAACATTCTGTCGTTCCAGACGAGAGTAGAGCCAAAAGCAGGTCCGGTTCCTCCATTTTACTCTCATCTGCCACGCTCAATGACAAGATAGCGCCCAGCAAAATACTGCGGGTGTCGACGGGAGTTTTGATCATCTTGGCAAGCGGTCGACCGCGCAAGACTGCATTGCATATTTCGCTCGACACTCGAGCAGAGTAATACCCGGCATGGGACAGTGTCAACCACCTGGGCGATTTGCTGAGAGAGGGAACGGTCGTGTAATGAAAGATGGACCAGAGAGAGCTCCAAATACATATCCTCTGCCTTTAATTCAAGGCTTCCTCGAAGGTACCGCCACCAGAAAATGGGTAAGGTGGAGTGGACTGGTGTCACTGGTGGCAGCAAGTCCTGCCCGCCTACCGTTGACAGGAGGTCATGGAGAATGTGATAATCGATATTATTCACCCTCCATGCTATAACACCCTTGTACTTGCCATGTGCCTGGGGAAATATTAGCTCCTGGTCCCTTTCTTTCTTCATTGGTTCTTTATTGTTAAGAAGGGTAGGGGTAGCACCAGCTACATACCTTGGTGTAGTAGGCTTTCAATATTTGTGCATACCCAGCACAAGAGACGCCTGGCGTTTGAGAATCACTTAAAAACATATCAGTCGTGAGCCGACGTCTGGGTCCAGAGTCACATCCATGAGTTGCTTAGCCGGTCGGAAGTCGTGCTTCTTTGTGGCACCGGCCACGACAAGGTGTGTTCTCCGCTATAATCCGCGGCAACAATGCCTTGATCCTCGTTGCTCTTCAGAAGCTTCTTGGCTTCCTCACTGTTGGTCTGTTGGTTGGTTTCTAAGGCTTCAGCCTCTTCCATACTTTCGGTCGAAATATATATACTCGACGGCATCCTCAGACATGAAAACGGTATTGTGCTTTTTGCCGCACCGTTCTTCAGGCATCTGGCTGGACCATTTGTCAAAGTAGGTAGATCCGGAAAGTCCTCCCACGCTCATCCGACGCGGCATCCACTCAACCAGGTTGGATTAAAATATTCTTTGATCAGCGCTAGCTTCACGATGCATATTGCCAGGGTGGGCGCGGTTGCGAATAAGAAGGTCAGATTGGAAGTACATATCGATGAATGGGCGTAGTTTTTTGAAAAGAAACGAATAGTCTCAGAGTCAGCCACAAACGTCCCAGAAATAAGGCCAGGGCTGCATGAACTCTGGCCATAAGCTTGGTCATGTTCGGCGTTATCAACTCACTGTTAAAGTCGAAGTACTTATGGCTGATGGCCAGATAGTACATCTGGTTACGGGCTGATCGGCTGCCGCTGCCGCTGCCGCTGCCTTGGGGGTTACGGTTACTAAGTTTTCAAGATGGTTTGCTGGGTCTACAAACATCATGAATTGGTCGGGATGGTAGCACCGTAGCACCAAATTACCAGCTTCATGTCGTCGACATAGCTCGTGGCTACAGGGGATTCCGTATTGCCCAGTAAATTGGCCTGTACAAGGGGGTAATCACCACCCCTTGATACGTCTCTTGAGCTGCTCGATCTGGGTGCAGGCGAATACTCTGGCGACCTTCATATGATGCTGGTTTGTAGGTGATGAAGAGAAAAGACAGAATATGGGTAATCGTATATATAAATAATGTATTTCTCCTTCTTGTTCTCCTCCCTCAACTCTAGATGGGCCTTATAACACTGCTCCATCCCTCCCAGGTAATAACCTCTGCAATACTCGGGATAGGTTGCCTCCAGTGATACCTCCCACAATTGGGATCGTTGCACTTGACTTTGCCTTCTGCCTCTCGATCTCCACGAAGGGCGTATGGTCTAGTAGTATGACATCACATTTGCATCGGGACCGTGCAAAGCCTTGTGAGGGTCCCGCGTTCGATCCGCGGTTCGTCCAAAGCTTTTTTAAATGGATACAACAACAACAATCTCCATCTTGTTGCTTGGGTTTCGGAGATAGCAGGTGTAGGCGCTGTGGTTGACAGCGCGGGTTTGCTGATTTTACCGTTGATTATCTGTTCGTTGGCCGCTTGGTTGATTGCGTCGATGAGCCGAGGGTAATCCGCGAGGATACGCGCGGGAGAACCTCCTTGGCGGGCTGCTGGTAGCTTTGCGTTTGCTTCTCCGCCTTGGAGCAGTACTTGGCGATGTAGTTGATCACCGCCGCGTGAGTGAGTGGTACAGGCGCTCACATCCGTATTTGCCATCCAGCCCACGGTAATGGTTCTGTTGAAGTTGTTCAGCGCCGTGTCGTTTCGAGACCCGTCGTATACCTAGTACGCCGGGTTCAGCTCTTTAGTCACGATAGCCTCGTCGTGTAGCCGCCTGGGGAGGTGGAAGCGGCACGTAGCAACCTCTGCCACGGTCCCGTCGCCGAGCCTCCTCTCGCGTAACAATCACGCTGGTGTTGAGCATCATCCGAAGGCTCTTGACCCAGGCAGGGTCGTAGGAGGAGACTCCTCTCAAGATGTAGGCTTGGAGGGTTGCTCGGTCGTATTTGACCCCGAGCTCTCTAATTCTCCGAATCAACCAAGTGTGTCTAAATAGGTACTCTCGGAGGGTTGCAAACTAGTCCTGGCGAAGGCCCGCGAGCTCATTGATTACGAGGTCTCGCCCAGTATCAAAGATTTTGGGAATTAACTTGTGGATGGCCTCCCAGAGAGCAAGGGGATCGTGATCTCCCGAATCGCCGTCATACCCCCCGTGGCGAGGATCTCCATTACTGGTTCGACTGAGGTACGTATGATGTGATAGGCCATGAGAGATTGGTCCTCATGGCTTCTTTCCCCGCAGACCTTGCTCCCTACGTAGCCGAAAGACTGACTTGTTTGCGGAGAGGGCGTACACGAAGGAAGCTGGAAGAAGTCCCCCACCAGAATAACCGATCTGCCTCTGAAAGAGAGACGTGGTTGCTGTGGAATCATCTGTCTGAGCCGCTGGTCGATCGCTTGCAAGTGGCGGAGTCCCAACAGGGACTTCTCGTCGATCAAGAAGTACTGGTACTGCCCAAGCTTTAGCTGCAAAGACATCGTCTCTGTATCGCTTCGGGGCGCGATATCGCCTTTGCTCACAGGCAAGCGCAAGGTGGCGTAAATAGTACTACCGTTGATATTGTTGGCGGCACCTCCCGTAGGTGTGTAGCGTATGATGGGAGACTGCTTCCCGTGGGAGGCGGCTATGCGGTCCAAAACACTCTAGCACACGACCATTGATGGGGTGGGCAAGCCTGGCCCTGCTCAATGGACTGCAAACACCAACCCGTGGATGGTTCAGAGCATAGCTTGGTAACACTGGTGCCAGCCTCAAGGCGAACGAACACGACGGTATCGCGCTGGTGATACATTTCGATGAAAGGCGCATGGCGTTGGAGCTGGGGATACTCCGCCCCTTGTGCCCTTCTATGTCACGCTGGATGAGCATGTTGTCGGCGGTTGACGCGCGCGGCTTGTTACTGGTAGGTAGGTAAGTTGGATCTGAGTCTTCATTAACTTCGGGGCCGTATGGTATTCGGCAATGTAATTGATCATAAATATATATATAAACCGTGGTGTGGTATGGGTAGGTGAGCTGAGTGCAGGATGATATATATGACCTGCCCGTCGACAGGAGAGCTGCAAAGGGTCAGCCTGCCAGATATCTGGCTTGACGTTCAAGATCAGTTGAGCAGATCTCTTGATGTTGGAGGTTGAAGATGGTGGCATGGTAGCGGAGCTCATACGTCCCATCTCGTTCGTACGCTCTCAGTTGGGAAACTGATCCATCACAGAGCCGTCTTGTGGCAGCTGGCTGAGGCTCTCTTCGTTGATGGCAATATCTCTATACCTGGGTGGTTCTCCTTGAGGAAATTGAGCTGCCCCCTGATAAGACAGACGTCAACATGTACGTGAAACTCATGCGATCAACTGCTCTTCAACCTGGGAAAGCTACGGGTCATTTTGGACCTTCAGTATGACAGCCTGTCCCGAAACAGACACTGCGTGCATGTGCTCATTGGCGAACGTGATGAGCCGAGGCCATATATTCGCAGGTAGGTGGTAACGCGGCGCCAGCCTCGTCTTGTCTTGTACGTGTTGTCGTACATCTTTGGGCAGCGTATCTTTTTCCCTCCTGTCCCTTGCACAGCGCCGCTTTGGTCAATGCCAGCGCCACGACCCCTCCCTCGGTCGATTCTCTTTTCGGCCGAAGATCCCGTACAAGGGCGAGGTGTTCGAGTTCTGCTAGCGTCGTTGAGTTGTCGTTTGTTGCTTTGCTGCGTTTTCGTGACCCCTGTACAAGGGCGGAGGCGTCCGAGGAGCTAAGGCGATGCTTTCCGCTAGAGACGCTTTGAGCTGTATGGATCGTATCGCTCAGATTGAGGATATTCCACGCCCTATCCGAGACTTCAAGCGGAGCTGGAGGGTTTTTTTTTTACATCACGCTCGGTCCAAGAGCCGCAGAGGTTGAACGGCAGGGGACGACTAGGTTTCCCGATCAGCTACTGGTAGTTGTTGCCCGGCCCTGTAAGGTCGGATGAGCAGTGTGCTTGCTCTGTCTCCATAGAGGACATCTTCAGTCAATTGTTGGTCGGTTCGTTTCCTCTCCTCAGCAGCCTTCCCGGCGCTCTGTTTGGTCTGCTGGTATTATTCTCCTCCCCGGCCCATGCCTTCTTTGCAATCTCGACCGGTAGTGACATCCAAACCCCAAAGAAAGACCGCAAGACAGGATAGTGCGGTCTTCGATGGGTACCACGGAGGGGTGAAGCAACGACTTGGGCTTGGTTGTGCGCTGTGCGCTGTGGTGGCTGATCCAACGCATGGCTGGGCGCCAGTTCAAGGTCTTCGACTCCTTGGCCCGGTTATAGCAGAGATTCTTCTCGCGGTTGTGATCCACGATGCCACCGATGACATAGGTGGTGCCTGCATCCAGATGCTCCAGGGTGTACTCCGAGTCCGATGTCAGGTAGACGATGGTGTCATTAACATTCTCGTCTTCAGGAATGTACCCGACTGAGCGAATGCGACTGGCCGCGCGGGGAGTAAAAGAGAGATAAATCAATACTTGGGGGGTTGTCGCAAAAGCAATAGCGCCAGTACATAAAGATGAAAAGGAGAGAATAAGTTTACTGCTTTGTTTGGTTTGTTTGCAGAAACAACGGGGTGACAGTCAAAGTCGAGTCGAGTCCTTGTCGGAAAAGGCGGGTGGTGGTAGGCAACCTGAGGTAGGTGTGTAGCTGCTTCGGTTCCTGTCGTCTTTCCTTTTCCATCTTCCATCTCTATCTCATCTTTTGTGTGTAAATGTCGATATATATATATATACATTCCCCCCTTTGCATCCCCTCATGCTCACTTGTCTGTCACCAATGATTGCTCGTCGTGTTTTTCTAAATTTCTAATATAACAGATGTATACCGACAAAAACAAAGAGAATAAGAAATATACTAATTGCCCAACTTCCATCTCATCAAAACGACCGTCTAAACGATAACTGCGAGTTCTAGTAAGATCGAAACCACCTGATCGTGTAGGACATAAAGATAGAACAAGTGGACATCGAATAAAAGAGATAAAGCAAGACGAAACAAAACAGGAGAAAGTAAATGTCAAAACCGAAATATGAACGAAAGCCAAACACCTCAAAACATATCCTTCCGAGCAAATTGTCGTCAGAGACATCCCTGCCCTGAACACCATTTTTAGTTCTTTTCCAATTTCCCAGAATCATAACCAATAAAATGCAGAAAAGGCGCAAAAGGAAAATAAAATAAAATAGCAATAAAATGAAAAGTCCCAATTGATATCTCATGCTCGTCATAATTTGGCATTCCAGTGAATCCTAGTCGACAAAGGCAGAGTTTCCCAGAAACCAGTGGGAAAGGGGGATGAAAGTGAGGGATCGATGCCGAGTTCAAAAGTCTGAAAAATACCTATATTAGCTCCCGTCTCGTTCATGTCTTGGCTATATGGAAATTAAGCAAACTTACAGATCCAGATGAACATCACTGCCGTTTCCCCAGGCGAAAAGATAGCATGTTCTAAAACAAAAGGAATGAAATAGTCCGGCCTATGCATCATGACATTCGAGTCGTTCATGATTGCCACCGCTGCTAGGACAGCTGCAGCTGGGTCGGATTGCACCATCCAAGCACTTTTCCCGTAGTAGGGATGGCTGGGCGTGTCCTTGATGTTGAGAAATTGGCCGGTATCGATATTGATAAGAAATAAAAGACAAAGAAAACGAGAGTCGATACTATAGGACCCGGCCGGCAGCTGCGTGACGTCGTTCATGTCCGTTGAGTAATATCCGCCCTGTATACCATCAAGCGAGTTGCTCTGTATGCAGTGAAAGCCGTATTTAGGGAAGATGGTAATGAAGAAAAGCGTTGCGGGTCGTCAGGGCGGTCAGAGAAACTCCAAGATCATCACATCGTGCTTCCCTGTTTAAGAACTAGTGTCGCCAGATCGACCCAAAGTCACGCTGGTGCCCTCACTGTCCGTGGATTGCCGCTCCAAGTCAGTCCGCTCAGTCTCGGTGTTCTCGTGATGATGAGTGCGGACGGGCCGGGACGAGCCCACAGGACCAAAGTTGGTACGAACACCAGCTTGCGACGGAGAAATGTTAGCAAAAGGCTCATTCACTACTGCCTGGCCGTGTCTTAGGGACTCCATTATGCCGTAAGAAAGAAAACGGTTGCTGGCAGCTTGACCGGCACCTTGCGGCCATGTGAACCGAGCTCGAGCACGAACTCCACTAACAGCCGCTGGGTTGGGGGAAGTGGTATGGTGACCATGAACGAAACTAGGCTCCGGGGGAACATCTGTATTCTCCTCCTCTGATCGCCGCCAGGAAGTAGACGCAAGGAAAGGCTTGAACTTACCGGTGGCATTGCCACCGCCAGGACCCTCAAACCGACCGGGACCG